TTTTTTTTTTTTTTTTTTTTTTTTTTTGTCTTTTTTCGTGTCCGGCAATGGATCGCAACCCTCAGTGTCGCGCCCGTACTGGACCGGGACCGGCAACGGGACCGCAAACCTCGGTGATGCTCCCGCACCTCACTCAGCCAGTGAGCGGGAACCGTTCTGTACGTGGGATCCGAACCCTCGGCGGGAGCGCCGCCACGCTCCCCAGCGGCGCACTGTAGCAGTGCGCCACCGGGCCGGCCCAATCTTTCTTCTTTTTTAATGTAGGCTTTTATAGATGTACATTTCCCACTGATACTGCTTCCACTGCATCCCACAAGTTTTGATATGTTGTGTCTTTGTTTTCACTCATCTCAAAGTATTTTCTAATGTCCTTTGTGATTTCTTCTTTGACCCATTGGTGGTTGAAGAGTGTATTGTTTAGTTTCCACATATTAGGGAATTTTCCAGTTTTCTTTTTGTTTTTGATTTCTAGTTTTATTCTGTTGTGGTTGGAGAAGATACTTATATGATTTTAAATTTATTTAGACTTGTTTCGTAGCTCTGTCCTGGAGAATGTTTCATGTGCATTTGAGAAGAATGTGTATTCTACTGTTTTTAGCTGGAGAGTTCTATACATGTCTGTTAGGTCTAGTTGGTTTATGGTGGTGTTCAAGTACTCTCTTTCCTTACTGATTTTTGTCTAGTGGTACTATCTATTTCTTTATGTAGGTTTTATAAACAAGGTAGGGATAGGATGGATGAGGCACATTGGTGATAAGCCTTATAAAGAGAGTAAGGATTAAAAATACTGAGTATTTAATGCATGGCTAGTATTTTAAAAACAAAAACAAAAACAGTTTTTCCACTAGTTATGTTTATTGTAGAAACATTAAAAGATACTGGATAAAATTAAAGTCATCTACAGTGTGAAAATTTTAGGTAATTTGTTTCCAGACCTTTTCTATGTATATATTCCTATAATTTATTTCTATATTTTAAGAAGGCATTCGAATACACATCTGTAACTTTTTCCCACTTAAGTGAATTTCAAAATAAATTTTTTTCATGCCAATAAATAATCGTCTACAACCCCATTTTAAATTGCTGCATAGCCCAGTTTTAATTCTGCAAGCTTATTTTCACTATATGGACATATTTATAAACATTTAGATTGTTTCCATTTTTTGCTGTTATGAAGTTTGATGCAAATAGTTTGATGTAGACCTTTATGATCTTTAGTTAGTTCTTTAGGGTAATGTTCTAGAAGTAGAATTATCCCTGGGTAATGGTTTTTAAGGGCATTCCTATATACACCAACATGGTCAAAATGCTATCCAGAAGATTTCTCACAGTGTAGGTATGAAAGTATTTTTTACAAGTCCTTGCAAGCTCTCAATATTATTATTTCATTATGAACAAAATAATAACACAGGTTGAGTATCCCTTATCCAAAATGCTCGGGACTAGCAGTGTTTCAAATTTTGGATTTTTTTTTTTATTTTAAAACATTTGCATATATATACTGGTTGAGCATCCCTAGTTTAATTTTAAAATTCAAAATTCAAAATACTTCAATGAGCATGTCCTTTGACAAGAGTGTCCTCATGTTTGTGTTAAAAAAGTTTTGGATTTTGTAAGATTTTGGATTTTAGATTTTCAGATTAGTTATGCTTGACCTGTAGACCCAATGTCTACAAACTACTCATTATGTGGCAGGCACTGACCTGAGCTCTTTGCATGTATTATTTCATTAATTATCACAGCAGTCTTATGAGGCAGGGACTGTTATCATCATGATTGATAGAGGAGGAAACATAGGTCTAAATCTCTAAATAGATTATATAACTGTTTAACAAATGAAGTTATCAGGTATATGACTTGTAAATATTTTCTACCATTCTGTGGGTTTTTCTTTTCACTTTCTTGATAGTGTTCTTGGAAGAACAGAAGTTTTTAATTTTGATGAAGTCTAGTTTATCAGGTTTTTTTTGGTGACTTGTTCTTTATGTGCATATCTAAGAAACTATTGCCTAATCCAGAGTTTTGAAGATTTACTTCAGTG